TATCGATGGCCCGATGAACTCAAAACGGGTGATGACCAAAGATCACTATGAACAATATCAAAAGGCATAGTAGACTTGTAGTAGTAGAAGTAGAAGAAATAAACGACAATTTAATATGTTTTTCAAGTACACAAGAATGACAAACACTAGAGCTAGAGGAGTGAGTACATTCAATGCTTTTATTATTACTAAGAGTCTTTAAAATAGAAGATCCCGGATGTCCCTATCAATCATGCCAAAAAGAAGATGCTAAAGCTGTAAAGGTTAATAGAGAAGAATGTGAGAAAGTGGTAGTGAGTGGATAAAAGCATTATGAAGAGAAGACCCATGACCCTTTTATAAAAAAGTCTTTATGAAGAGAAGATCCCGGATGTCCCTATCCCGGATGTCCCTATCACATCTCATTATTGGCACCCCGTCCGATAATCCTTCACAGAAAAACCATAAGGGTCAAACTCAACAGACACATAGTTCAGTGGTAAATTTACGAACAGAAATCAAATTTTTAATGAGTTTGGGGGCATGTAGGACATTAGAGAGGGATAAAGAAGGATTTGGGGACGGTAAAGTAGCATTACCACAACCACGAATCGGAATAGTATGACCACTACCAACAACAATACCATTATGATGGTTGCTCAAATTAAAATAAGACGAGAGATTACCGTGGGTGGATGTCATATGGAGGAAATGTATTCCATGGGTTTCTCATTGCATTTCACAGTCAATATATACAATGTACAAGGCTTATCTTCAGTCATTAATTAATATAAACTAGGTAAAAACTATATACAAAATATTCTAAGCTATAAACTAGGAAACAGAATATTTACAAAGTCAAAGATATATTATGACTAATATATCTTAACAGTAATCTCTCACAATTATGAAGAGAAGACCCATGACCCTTTTATAAAAAAGTAGGTGAAGTTAGTAGTGTAGCACATTTGGATGACTAAAATGAGTAATTCCTTTTTTTTTTTTTTTTTTCTTTTTCAATTCAACAAGTTGACTTTATGTAGTTTTTGGAGCTTTAGTTGAATTTATTAAACTAATATGGAAGTAAGGTTGTTGGAAAATTTAAAAGTTATAGAAAAGAGAAAGTGGGTGAATGATTTTTTTAAAGTAAGTGATGTGAGAGAAAGGAAATAATAAACAAGTAGAGTGGAGACTATGGGTGGGGACTGGAGAGTGATGATACAAAAGTGTACAAGATTTCCATTTTTAGAATTGTTGCATGTAAAAAAGACGGCTGATTATGGGAAGTGTTACACTTAAAAAAACAAGAGAGAGTATGAGATTGGGTGAAAAGAGTGATCTACATTCATGGCATTAGCTCATTGTGGATACATGGGTGGATATCATATAGGAATATACTTGATTGCATCTAATGTGTATTGTGCAGAGGGTATAGGTCACCATAGAAGATAATGCCACAATGCATGTAACCGGCCTCTAGCTTCTACATCTGATACTGTACCTCCCTCATACAGTAGGGGAACTAGCTTTGTAGCAATATTTCTTTTTTTTTTTCTTCTGAATGTGCTTGTGCCTTGAATTGGTTTTGCATACTGACAGGGTATATTACATCTGACATTTCACATGTATATAGGAAGGAGTTAAAATTTATGTTACAGTTGTGTTTTTCATTTGATATGCTAGGAGTTTGTTTAAATTTTGTCTTTTGGTGGGAGTCTTCACTTAGTTATATGCTTTCCAAGAGAATTGAAGGTATGAACAGTGATTTATGTTATTCTCTATTAAGACTGTTTCTGACACTAGAGCATATCTCAATGGCGTTCTAAGATCTTCTGGGGATGCATCAAGACCAAAGAGTGTCCTATGGAGTAAGGAGGACCTATTATATAACTCAATTATTTGGGTAAAAGCTATATGGAAGTAGTATCAATTATCCTAGCCAGTGTTACCTAAACTCCGGTTCCCCCCCTACAAATTTCGTACTGGTACGATGGAACACTTTTGGGCTTTTAGAACAGAATTAGGTAGCAAATCATGTTCTGCATACTTGTGTATCAAAACGCATCACGGATTAGGTAACACAGATCCTAGATTCCTAGCCAATGGACAAATAATTGGAAATTATTTTGTTAGAATGGAGGAACACCTTAGGAAGATTGTATGTTAAATAAAAGTACCAGCTAAGAGGAGGCATCTGAATGCCTTGATGAGATGGAACAATGTGATGGTGATGAACTCTAAGAGAGTAGATGTAGAACTAAGAAGATTAGAAATGATCAAATTGCTCATCTAATGATCATAGAGGATGTGGATGTTTATGAAGACCCACTTATATGTTTTTAAAATTCATAGGGCGGATGTTAATGAAGACCCACAATATGCTTTTGTAAATTGTGGTACGTGAAAGATCTGAGGATTTAGTTTGTTGCAGATTTAGTATTGTTTTTACTTTTCATGTTTCATTAGTAAGGAGTAAAGGACTTAGGAGAAGTGGTTGTAGAAGGAAAGGTTGTAAGAGGTTACTTATTACTGAACATCCATCATCTGTCCTTTCTGGTCCTGTGAAATTAAAACTTTCTATTATGCACATGCAGAACGTATAATCATAAATTGCCTTCTGGACCCTCCTCCATTACTTGTCTGTCACAGCAGCACTCTAGCATCAGTGAATTCTTGGATAATTGAAGGGAGTAAAGGCTCTCTGTTGGCAACAGGGGATTATGGTCATTTTGTTTTGTTCCTAAATTATTCATTCTCCTTGCCCTCAAAAAAAAAAAAAAAAAAAAAAAAAAAAAATATTCTCCTTATTTTTTGTCGGGTGAAAATTCTGTCGCTCATGCTTTGTGACCACAATCGCACACTTTAGGCCATGGCATGGTTTTAAATCTCTTATATGGACGTGATAGCCGTATTGGTCGCAAACACTTTTGTCGGCAACTTGGGCAGTACGTGACTGTTGCGGCTAAATATTTTGGTTGTGTTAACCTCAAAACCCATTTGCGATATGGAGATTCGGTCAAAATCTTATATCATGGTCATGGTGGTAAATTTCAGCAACATTACTGCATCACACCCACATTGTTAAGGATTTTGGAGCTTACTGAGATTAAAACACAAGGCCGCAACAGCTGCAAACCACACCTGCATTGCCCATGAAAGTGGTTATCAGTCTCTCATTACCCCAGTTATGTTTATAACCCATGCTTTGAGTGGTCATACCCCTTTTATGGATTAATCAAAGTTAGTCCCTCATCTATAGTTTTGCTTTGGGAAAGTGACAACTTATGGGACAATTATGATATTGTTCTGTGAAATATTCAGTTAAATTTTATAGTGTGCTCATGATTCTTAGATTAAGATCTGGCGATGCAGTTAGGTTAATGAATTGCATCCTAGTGTTTTTTTGTTCAGTTGCCAATAATCTAGAATTTAAGTAGCTATTTGGGTAATGATTATGGGTTGCTATTGATAACAGCATTTTAGACATCTGTGCTTGTTTTAAAGATGTATAGTTAGTCCTGGGTTGGGACCCTAAGAGAGAAGGTATGGGAATTGAATAGATGTATATTTGGTTGTAGGCCAGAGATGAAGATCATTTGGGTTAATCACTTTTTGTTGAGGAGAATTTGTTAAAGAGAGTATATCTCGAACAAGAATAGAAGAAAGCTTGTGCATGTAGGAGGTATATTTGTGTTGTGGATTCCTGCTCAATAATAATGCTAACAGATATCATAAGAATGGGTAATTAAATGAAAAGACTTGTTAGAACCAAAATATGTCGCCAATGGTATATTTGACGTGTTACTGGAAGGAACTTCAATACAAATAATTTTTTGAGTCAACGGATACAAAAGTAGTTGCAATATCCTAGTGAGGAAGGTGTGATGACTATATCGTCTCCAAATACATCAGTCAATATTAAATTTAGTTGCACTCAGGATAAGTTGCATTTGCCATGCTAGGAAGTTTTAGAGTCTCTTTTTCTATAGCAAACCTTTTAACTACTCTCTGAGGGCTGTGGACTTCTGATGACTGAATTAAGTTCTGCTTTCAGAAGCTCTTGTGGTACTAGTAGCATTTTGACCTACCACAGTAATGTGCCTTCTTTCTCCTCTATGAAATGGAGGGATAATATTGATTTGGTTAAGAAATGTCAACCTCTGAAAGTAGCGTTAGAGTTGGAGCCATTTATTCAATTCACTTACTGACTGGTCAAGCATTAAAGACTGTTTTGATGATAGCTGTCTTTCCAAGTTATGTTTAAGCAAGTTATGTATATTCTAGGAATAGGTTGATTAATGAGTTGTTTATTTACACCTAATTTCTTATTATCCAGACTATCGCTTTTCGTGGTTATAGACAAAGACTTGCTTCATATGTGATGTGAACAGTTTAATTTTAATAATTATGTCCTGTTTAGTTGGAAACTGATTTTTTTGATTTTATTAAACCAATTTAAGAATAGCTAATGTTCCATTGATTTTCATAAGATTGTGTGCTAGCTTGAATCCTAGAAGAATGTTTGTTATGGTAATGTAATGAATTAGCAAGCAACTGTATGTCTGTATGTTGTTTCTAATATAAGGAAGTAAATTAAATTTCATAATCTTCACTGGGAAAACAAGACGTGACCCCGTTGGTGTAGTCGCATTTGAGGGTAAGGGTTATTAGATCCGAAGCCATGCATACAAGAAGGGTTGGTGGAGAACCAGAGATGGTGGTTTCAGGAGGGGAAAGAACAGAGGGGCCGGGGAGTAGTTTTAGTACCTATCACCTATATTTGGAAGTGTTTTATCATGCTACCCAACCTTTTATGTGACATTTAATTTTCCACTAGACATGTTTCTCCCTTATAATCCTCATCCTAAGCCATGGTCTGGTAGTAGAGTTTGTTATGGAGTAATTGAGTCTACTGTTAGCGGATAAGGCTCCAGAGGGTCGTGTTTGGTTATTGGGTGGTGCTCAATTTCGAGTATAACATGGTGATAAGGGCATTTTCCAGAAAATACTTGCAAAAAAAATTGAGGTACTCACTCTAATTATAAAACCAAGAAAATAAGTAAATAACATTATTCTCTCGTTTCTTTTTTGTGGGGAGATTTTAGATCAATCAGATTGGTGTAAGAATTACATGGACCTATAACCAGAATAATATGGCCCTATAATCAGCAATTATGCTGGAAACCTAAACTTTTATAATAAAAAGAAAACACAAATAAAGTTCAAGATTAAGAACAACATACATGAAAAACAATATGCTAACAGTATTGGTGGTGTTCTTGCCTCTCTAGTCCAGTCTAACAAAGCTCAATGTTTCGTCATTGATCCAGTTGTACCTTTCCATAAAAGGATTTACTATGGTTTTCACTGGGTATTCATCTATGCAGTCATCCCAAGCATTCCTATCTTTTAAATCTTGCATCACCTCCCACAAACAATTATTGCACTTGAATCCTGCCCCAAAGCTAATCATGAGAATCTTATCCCCTTTCTTGAGTCTCTTTTTAGCCTCCATGTAACCCAAAACATACCAGAAGCCAGCAGCTGAGGTATTCCCCCATCTGTGAAGTGCCATCCTAGCGGGTTCCAAATCGTAATCACTGAGCTGCAAGCCTTTTCCTGTACCATCAATAACAGCCCTGCCACCTGGATGTATGCAGAAGTGTTGAATACCAGCCTTGAAATTTAATCCTTGTCCAACTTTTTCAAGGTCACCCTTTGTCCAACTACTAGATATAAGTAGATATCGGATCAGCTCCCGTAACGGTAAAATCCTAGGCACCAGCACCTTAAGATTCTCAGTAAAGGCTTGAGCAGCTGCCTTTGGGAGATGCCTGGTGAGACAAAATCCAGGGTACCCCTCATCATCTTCTTTTTGGAAGCAACAATTGTAGGCCTCATCATCAGCTCCAAGGTGGGTTCTCAACAAGTAGTTGAGCTTGATAATAGCCCGATGTTTCAAATGTCTGTTGTTTGAGAAGAGCATTGAGCAACCCCCTGTGCGGAACAGACAGTTGGAGAGCATGAAGGACCGGTCTCTGCCCGTGTACCAGTGTGTTCCCATAGATTCACTGCTAACGACAATAGCGTTCACATTCTTGTATACTTTAAAAAGTTGCTGGACAATATCAATGGCAATGAGGCTTGCACTACAACCCATCCCAGTGACGTTAAATGTCTTAATGTCGTGCCGCATTTTATAACGGTTAACAACCCGGGATGTGAGAGAAGGAACTGTTGCTAGCAAGGAGACATTGACGATAAGGATATCAACATCTGTTGGGGATATCCCTGACCTATCGAATAGCTTATCAAGTGTTGCGAAGATGATTTCATCCATCTCTTCCAGGGCATCATTAAGAGTAGGACTTGCTTCTCTGCCTTCAATGACATTTTTAGGACAGTAAGTTGACTCTCCAATGCCAGAACTCACTATAGTTTTCAAGAGGTACCTAAATTCCTCTATACGAAGTCTCTTGTTTCGGAATACAATGCTGGCACACTTTTCAGTGCTTAGCTTCCTATCTTCTGGAGGCTTGAAGCACTCATAGTGAAGCATGTAGCAGCATTGATCCCTCTTATTAATTACCCGCTTACATAGAAGGTAAGCGATGTACAAGAAGGGAAATAGATAGAGTGCTGTGAGAAGCTCCATGAGAGGAAACAAATAGAGAGAAATTAAGTGGAAAAAAAAAAAATTTACTGGTGTTTTTTTGATATATTATTTTGTAAGGAAAGTTGTTCCTTTAAGTGCCTCTTTATAAGAATTTGTGAGCATAAAAAACATATCATCTTGTTTAGGTAAACTTTTAGTGTCTTTCCTATCCCTTTCAATCTGTCTGTATCTCTCTCAATCACTCAGGACATGGGCTTGACTCATAAAAGATTATGGAAGCATTAATAACAACTACAACCTACAATCACCCTTATTTTTATTTTTACTGGTCCAGGCTGTTTATTTTTTTATGCTCTCTTTTTAAGCAGTAAAAAATACAAGTAAAAGTTTTTCAACAATTCTTTGTTCTTCATAAGATTTATACAGGGTAAAGTCAGTGGGCCACTTTGTATTAACTCTAACCCTAAATTGATAAACTTAATCTCCATACCCCTTTAACTTTTCCTTTCCCTTTTTCTTGTATTTTTAGATTCTGGATATCTGACATATATTGTATCTAACTGTCTGTTAATGTGTATGTCATTGGATCAAAACATTGTTTAGACAAATTTCTGATCTTTTAAAGTTTATATTTGTAATTCAGGCTTCTTTATAGGGCATTGCAGAAGTAATTGGAAAAAAAATATTGATTGCTACGAGAACCCGAGAACCGAGGTAATCATGAATGTTAGAATTATTTCTTGCTATGGGATTGGCATATAGAAATTCAAAATGCTGGATGTCTGCAAATTTATTTATTTATTTCATTTTTTTTGTCAGTCACTCAGTCATATAAACTTAATTTTCCTGATTATTTTGCTCTCAAATGAATGTGCCACTTGTGAAATTGACTTGGTCCCCTGCAGTGATTTTATTACAGGCAAAGGAATTTATTTACTGTCAGAATTGTCATCACATAGATCATGGCAGTAACTTTAGTAAGAAATGCCCTCTCTAAACTGAACAACTCTAATTGGTTGTTCTAAGATTTGAGTTATGTTTCTTCTGCTGTTAATACTGAAGTAGCGTTGGTGACAACAGTTTGTAATAAGATTTCAGATTTTTACTAATTTAAGATCGTAACCTTGTACCGCTTATTGCAGGTTAGCAGCCAACCAAGGAAGCATCAATCAACTTATATTTGGTAAGTTTATTTCCTGGTATATCAATTGTTGTTACTCCTTTAGCCACTGCGCGAAATGGAATTTTTGAAAGGTTGCTCATGTTATTCCTTCTTATGTCACGTTGGGTATTCCAAATATGTGCACTACATTTTGTAGGCTTCTATAATTGTAATCAATTACGTATGAATTTTAAGCAAGTGGGACACTCACAAATTTTAATAGATTTGTTTCGGAAGTACCTAGTCCTGTTGTATGCATATTGACTTAGAGACTCATTCTGGTGACTGATGAACACCCCGCTCCCCAACGGTCCATCCTTAATTCAACATAAAGATAAAACTTCCTGTTATAGAAGCTGTTTACTTGAATGGATGATGTTCACTAGGTTAGTAGGTGGTTGTATGTCGTTTTATTCAAGGATTATCGTAATCATATACAAGTAGTATATAATATAAAATGACACGTGAAGGTTTGCGTCTTTGTGTGCGTTTTCTAGAAGATCTGGCAAGAGCTACATGCTGAATGTGCATGTTTATCTGTAACTCCCTTTATCTGATTCACCAGAGATTTGGCTACTAAAAACTGTTAATGTGCTTTTCACTTCAGGCTGCATAATAAGGACATGCATCTGCAGGCAAATTTGCTAGAAGTTTCGATTCCGGATCTCTTATACTGAATCTAATTTATGTTTTTATCTGCTAATAATTTTCAGGCAACAGACCTTTCAGAGCATAAACTTGTGATGAATTGTCCAGCTTTCTTGGCCAGATTTTGGGTTGTGAAAGAGTGATTATACACTGTAAAATCATTGCAGTTTGTACCTCTATATTAGTTGTCAACCCTTTAATTGTACCATGATCTAGTCATATTTAATGTCTACCAAATGTTATGTTTGCTGTTGTAATGTTGTTAACCATATGCCAAGAACTTAAGGTGTTTTTGTTTTTAATTTTATTTTATTATTTGTAAGAAAAAAAAAAAATTAATCTGCTACCTACTGCAATAAATTAGGGCAATAAATGAGAAAGATGGCTAATTGAATTGTGAAAATGAGTGTACAATATCCCTTCTCATATCTAACTCCAATCAACAACTATAATTTCATAAATAATCTCCCAACCAAAAACCACATTTTGTGAAACATTTAAAGCTCTTTATTTTTTTTTAAGAAAACATAGAAATGTACCAATAAAGTTCATTTGTTCAACATGTGTTAGTAAGCAATGTATTGAAAGTTAAATGGGGGTTCTTGATAAGAGTTGTCAATTCTTGTCTTTTATTATATAAAATCCTTGACAACACTATTTATTCATTTGGTGGACAGTTTTTAGGTTCATCTATTTATAAGTTTAGGTGGGAGTGAAGAAATGACTCAAAGTTTTGTAGTGTAGAGAAATGACTAACCTATATAATTTATGACTTTGACGTACTCTACTTAAGAACAATGGGGATTTTGGAATTTTCAAAGGATAATGTTTAGTGACATACTCGTCCTCGTCTAGAAATGGGCAGTAGAAATGCGTTTTTATAGCATGACTAGCATAGATCCCGTGCATGCACAATTGCATGAAAATAACTATGATTTTTATCTTCACATACAAAATTTTTAATTTTGGCTTATTTTTTGTTTATACTCAATACATCTTTTGCTTTATTTGAATTGTCATGAATATTTATTACTTCCAATTTTACATAAGTTATTGTTTTACTAAAATATATTATTTTCTTACTTATTGATACCGCTCCCTTTAAATGTCCTTTTTTTTTAAAAAAAAATTATTATGTTTGTCTCATTAGCTTTTTTGACACTGTTTTCAATGGAGTATTGTAATTAAGACTTTAAATCACGTATTGCAGAAAAAAAAAAAAAACTAAATATAAAATTTACACATTTGGAAACTAATAATCGAGACAAATTCAATAGGATCTTATAAGATTCCAAATTAGACAAAACATAAGAGCCAAATGCATTTTTGGGAATTCACCTTTCATACTTTTCTCATTTTGGGATTTACCTTTCATTTTTCATTATTAAGGTATTGCTAATAGTCATCGTAATTAAAAAACATGCCCATTTAGGCTCTGTTCACTTCACCATAAAATAATGTAAAAATAATTTCAGTTCATTAAAATTAATTTCAGTTCAGTAATAATTAGTTTAGTTCAGCAAAAATAATTTCAGTTCAGTAAAAACAATTTCAGTTCAGTAAAAATCAGTAAACTTAAAGAAGAAATATAATAGAAAATCAGTAAAATAATTTAGGTTTAGCAAAAATAATTTCAATTCGGTAAAATTTATTTCAATTCAGTAACAATAATTGAAGTTCAACAAAAATAATTTTAGTTCAATAAAAATAATTTCAATTTAGTCAAAATAAGGTGAAGTGAACGGAGCCTTAATTACAAAACTACTCCCTAAATAAGACATACATTGTACTCCCTCCGTTTTTAAATACTTGTTCCGCTTTCCATTTCCGGCCGTTTTTAAATAGTTGCCCCATTTCCTTATTCGGAAAGTTTTTACAATATTTAATTCATTTTTCTCAACTAGTAGACCCAACATAAATCATATTTTATTAATTTCATATTCTCTCTCCTCCAATTTTTTTCACTACTTTTGCCTTTTTTTTCTCTTTTTTTTTTAAATTTTTTTTTTTCTTCCACCTACCCCACTACCTCCCTATTTTATTACTTTCTCTAATTTCTTCTAAAACTTTACACGTGAAGAAATGTAACAAGTATTTAAAAACGGGGGGAGTAATACATATTCAATTACAATAGGAAAAGGAAGCAAAACATATGAATAACGCAAACAAATCTTTTATCATCAAAATTAGGAAGACACCTTTTAAATTATATACATATTTAAAAGTAATAGAAAATTTAAAGTTAAGCAGAGATCAAATAGGTGTAATTGTGTAATAAGATTGAAATATATCGTAGTTACTTTTTAGCTAACCTACACAATCAATGATGCCAATTGTACAAAAATTTAAAGTAAATCAATTAAATTGAATTAAAAATCAAACAATTACTTCATAAAATTCGTTTAACATCCTTACACAATCGCCGCCTATATGGATGAAATATGATTGGCTCCCTCCAGGTTTTCTCTCTTTGGAGCGTTTTTCCTAGCCTCAATTGCTAGGTTTTTTCAATTTTGTTGAAGGTTTTCCTTCTCTCTTCTCCCTTTTTTCTCCATCTCTACCATTTTTTTCCTCTTGCTTTCAATTGTGAATCTTTGTATGGGCTTCCACTGGTGTTCTACCGGTGGTAAGTCCCAAAAAACCTTTTAATTGTTTTCAATAAATAGATCTCATCCTTGAGATATGATTTACCTCTTGAGTTTATTTTCTTTTTATGTTTGTATGGTGAAATTTGAAGATCTAGGCCTTCATAATCTCTACAAGAATCTGGAAAAAGCACATGAGTATTTTCATTCAAACGACTACGCACCAGTGGATTTCAAGCCGAATAAGTGCGAACTTACGTTAATCAAATATGCGATGTATTTAGTTTTAAGGTGTGTACTTGTGGTGGAATTATGAATTTCTTAGAAATTATATGTAAGTGTTGTATGGCTATATTTTATTAATGAAACCCCTTTTCTTCTTGTAAAAAAAAAATATTGATGAAATTTGAATGGTGAGTTCCCAAATTATGTAATGAATGAAAGATGAGTCTTGAGTCCGAACCTCCTAAAAAGAAGGGGCTATACGTGATTTATAATATGAAAAAAATGTGTTTTTAGAAAATCACACAACAAAATTGTCACTATTTGGATTATAACACCAAAAAAAACTTATATCATAACGCCACACAAAAAAAAACCCAAAAACTAGATTTCACCACCACGGCACCACTTCGCTTTGCTATCCCAAAAAAAAAACCGTTAAGTGGGCCCAACATTGTACCCGTGTCAATCATATGTTGCATTAAAAAAAACCCCCTAAAATCCTAACCTAGTACCCACCCCAACCATCGGCGCCGGTTCCCACTCACTTTCTTCACCCTAACCCAACACCCGTCGTCACCCTAACCCAGCACCCGTCGTCGTCTCCCCTACTCGAAATCGTCTCCGAACCGCCAAAACTGTCGCCAAACCACCGAAACCCCAGTCAAAACCATCCCAGCCGACAACATCACATTACCCCCACCACCGTCGCCGAACTCCTCCCCCTACCCAAAACTGTCACCGAACCACCAAAACCCCAACCCACACCCATACCCAAACGACCAAACCCACAAACTACCCTACTCCTCTCACCCTCACCCTTACTCTCACCAT